TCCCTACACAAGAGTGGGGTTAACCTGCACGAGCGTGGGGTTCACTCTTCTCCTTTCCAGGGCTAAGCTGGACCCTCCTCTTTTTCCGTGCGTGAGGTGGGGGGCGGCGAAGCTGCGCCCTCTCCCTTCGCGTGGAGGCGGAGGGCTAACCTGTGCTCTTCTTCTCGTCGCGCTTCATGCCCTTGAGCCGCTTGAGCATGCCGCGCAGGTCCGTGACGCCGTGCTGGAAGGCGATGCGCTCGTACTCCGACGGCGGCGCCTGCCGCAGGATCTCCCACACGTCCTCCTCCGCCGGAGCCTCCAGCTTCGAGTCCCTGTGTCCCGCAGTCCGTGAGCACAGGCCTCAGGGGACACCGCGTGGCCAGGGGCAGGATTGCAGACCCCTCCCCTAGCGCGGGGCTTCTTGGGGCCAAGACCAAAGGGTTGTAGCTGCCCCGGCCCCTCTGCCCCTTCCTTTCTGGTGGGGCAGCTTGAGCTGGCATGAGTGTCCGCCAGTTCCAGGGGTCCAGGGAGCTTAAGGCTCAGTGTGGGGGCTGAGGCTAGGAAGGGGTTCTTGATGGAAGTAAGGGTGATGGGGGTGCTGGGCGCCACAGGGCACTCACCGTGGGGTCCGGAAACTGCTGCTCCAGGTGGGGAGAAAGGCAGGGACCCGTTAGAGGAGTGGTCTACTGCTCCACAAAGACTTGGGGGGTGGAAGCCCATGGCCCTGCCCGCCTCCTCCTCCCTGCACTCACGCCCTTCCGCCTCTCCTTGTTTACCCCTCCTGAGCTCTGGCAGGTGGGTATCAGAACCTCACCCAGGTCTGTCTGATTACCAGCCTCATCCATCTCTCACCCACTGTGATGGGGATGGGATCCTGCCAGCGTCCTGCTGCCCCCAAACACCCGACCCCAATGCTTACTCTCTGGGCCACAGTAGCATCAGGCGTAATGCAGGGTCCGGGAGAGAGAGGGAGAGGACACAGAGGACATGAGTCAGTGGGCTGAGCTGGGTGAGCAATTCCTGTGGCTCTAGGGCCCTCTCCTAGCATCTTCTGGGTCCCCGAAACCTACTGAGGTGAGCTATTGCAGACTCGAGTGTGGGGTGGTCGTGGGGGATGCTGTGAGGATGTTAGTTCACAGGACATAATATCTGTAGAGCCCTCTGACTCTTCCCAACACCAGGATTGTCCCATCTGACCGACAATGAAACCAGCTCAGGGAGGTGTAGTGACCTGCTCAGGGACACACAGCTGTAAAACCACAGTGCCAGGATTTTTAAACTGGGTCTTGCCACCTTCCCCAGGAGCTGCTACCCAGGGACTCACCTCTTCTTCAGCAGTGAACTGAAGTCCAGAATCCCAGCATCCTCGTGGCTGTCACTGTGGAAAGGAATCCCCAATGAGGTTGAAGCAGAGCCTACTAGACGGGGCTGGGAGCGGGTAGTGGTGAGGGGGGAGTGATAGGAAGGAACGCTGGCCAGATGGCGGCTCTTTGCCTGTCTCAGACCCCTGGGGTCTGTGTACTGGGCATGTAGGGCTGGGGGAGGGAGGGGTACCTGATCCGACGACCACCTCCAGCCAGGCTCCTGTGGGGGTTAGAACCAGTTCCTCACCTGCCCAGGGAGCTTCCTCTCCCCCATGCCCATCAACTTAGCCCTGACCCCCACAGCGCCCCAGCCCTGACCCTGAGGCTAGCCACCCCTAGGACCTGAGGAGACATGGCCACTCACGTGCGGCGGAAAGCTGATCGGAGGTCCAGGTCTCCAGGGCCAATGGCCTCTGGGTTCAAAGAGGGAGATGAGACAGGGAAAGGGACTTCAGAGGGAACCATCCCAGGATCCCTGGGTTCTAATACCACAGACCTGCCCATCCCCGACCCCTTGGGAGTGGGAACCTTCCCCTGGACCCCACATCCTGAGCCTTGCCAGGGTCAAGTTATCAGGGAGGGGGACAGGTGATCTTAGAGGTGGTTGATCATCCACTCATCTCTCAATTCACCTGTTCACCTGGGCCAGGAGCCTGGGACATCAAGATAAGACCCAGACAAGATCTAGACTTGGCCGTCACCCTACTCCAGCCCTGGAAGCCTCCATGGATTTCTTTCATGCCCTTGAATGAGCAGCTTTGGGCATGTGGCCAGCAGTTGTCTGGCCAGGACTAGGCATCCTCCTTAGCATTGGGAAAAATGGAGGCAGGTACTAGGGACAGGACCCATGGGGAGCCAGAGCTCAGGACAGAGGCCAGGGCACCCTCCTCACCGTGGACTGTGAGATTGAAGTTGCAGCTGTCGAATTTGTCCTTGGTGGACACCTCACAGCGGTAGCCACCAGCAAATGTGGCCTGGGCATCTGAGATGTGCAGCTCGAACAAGTAGACCTATGGGGGTGAGATGTCAGGGGAGATAGGGGCTAGAAGACGAGGTCCTTCACCCCTAAAGGAGACTGGGGGTGGCTAATGGCCACCAACCTTCTCACACGTCAGGGTTTAGTTAACCCATAGTTTTGTGTAACTAGCAAAAGAAACCCCTTCTCAAGACACGCCACTGCCATGTGTTGGCATAAGGTGGTGATAAAATAGAAATCTCTGATGGCTATAAGGCAAATGCCATTCACTCCAGACGAGGCACTTTTGTGCAGTGCGCAGTCCGTATAACTGGACATGTCAACCCCGCCCTGCCAGAGGCCGCCTTGCCTGGGCCAGAAAGAGTAAGAGAGCGCGAGGCTGCAAGTCACAGCACAGGTTCTAGGCCTGGCTCTGAGTAACCTCAGACCAGCGACGACAAACTCTCAAGCTTCGGTTTCCTCGTCTGTATCATGGATTGTTCTGCTTGGCCACTGAGGCCCTTAGCTCTGATACCCACCCATCCAGGGGCTGTTCACCCTCACTGGCTGGTGCTCCCCACGCTTCACCATGTCCCTCAGCCTTTTGAGCTCCCTGGGACCCCAAGTCTTATTGTGCCCCCTTGAGACTATCTTGCCCTGCAAGCTCCCCACATCTCACAGGTCCCCTGTGCCTCCCCATAACTGTCCTCTGAGCCGCCCCATGCTCCTCATGTGCACTTAGCTCCCCAACCTACTTCCCAAGCACCCCTGCCCCTTCTTTGCACCCTCCATGTGCCTCCAGTCTCATGGTGCCCCCATGCCTCCCAGGGCTCTCGTGACCCTTTACATGTGTCCCCATGATCCCTGTGCCCTGCAGGCCCCACCTTGCTGGCCCGGTCCCCCTGTGCCCGCAGGCTCCTGTGCCCTGCAGGCCCCACCTTGCTGGCCCGGTCGTAGCTGTCATGGAGCTGCAGGTGTTGGCCCACCTTGCTGCTCAGGTCCACCCACTTGCCCTTAAACCATTTGACCATAGGTGGTTTCAGAAGGCTGGCCCCAGCCACATGGGCTGAGAAGGTGATGCTGCCACCTACAAGAGACAGGTGACAGGATGGGCTTGGGGATGCCCTGATGCCTCCCTCCTACCCCCATACCTTTGGCTGTATTGGCTCCACACTCACCCACAGTCACCTCGCCATCCTGTGGCCGTGTCACAAACAGGCCGATTGGGTCATCAGGGGCACTGTGGCCATCGGGGGCTGCTGAACTTGATCCTGTGAGCAGAGACCTTTGAGAGCTGCCCTGAGACACCCCCATTGGCTGACCCTGGCTTTCCCTGCCCAGCCCCTCTCACCTTCGAGACTTGGGGAGTCTCCTTCTACCTCAGTGGCTGAGGTCGGGGCTTCTCCGGGAACTCCGGAAGCCTCGGCAGGGGCAGGAGCGGGGCCTGGCACAGGCTCTGCCTTCTCTGCTGGGATCAGGTGAGGAGTCATGGAGCAGCTTCTAACCAGAGACCCCTCCTGTCCCCGGTCCCTCCTCAGTCTTTATAGACTCAGTAAATACTGCAGTGTGTGTAGAGCTTCATCTGGTCCCTCTCTTCTTCTCACCCGCCCATGACCCCATCTGTCCCCTAAATTCTCTCGCTTCTCTGCCCACCACCTCTCTGAGCTCATGCACCCACTCCTCTCCTTTGCCCCATCTCTCCTGAGGATCAGACCCAAGAATACACACTGTCTACGAGGCGTCTCACTTGAATGAAAATTCCAAAACCCCTCCTCTTCTCTCACTCCCCAGGAGCCTCTCAGAGATGGCTCATGCTGAGCTGGGGAGCCAGCCTGCATTTCACCTTCTCCTGCCCTCACAGACCGTCTGTGCCCACATCTCCGTGAGTCTGCCCTGACCAGCTCTGAAGTCTGTCCTTCCTCTCCTTTCCCAGGCTCTGGCCTCGGTCCAGGCCCCAGTCTGGGCTGGGCTCCCCCCACCCCGCAGCTCCCAGGACTTCGCTGGTGGCACACAACACGCCGGCTGTGTGTGGGTGTCCAGTGGGAGGACAGGATCATGTCTTGTTCATCTCTGAATTTCCCCCACCTCCACAATGTCTGGAACGAGCCAGAGAACCACATGGGGGCACTCAGAGAGGTCTTGCTGCAGGAAAGGGGGCTTTCCTGGCAGAAGGCACAGCCAAAGCAAACGCAAGAAAGTGGGAAAGCACCTCCTACACCCCGAGTGGTGGAGAGCTGGCGGGACTGTCCCTGCACCCAGAAGCTCAAACCTCAGGGAAGACTGACCAGGGCCTTACCTGCTTCTATGACCTTGAGGTCAAACTTAACCTTGGAGGAGCCAGCGATGACTGCATAAGACCCCTGGTCAGCAGGGCTCACGTCCCGCACTGTCAGCGTGTGCCGTGTGCCTTCGGCTGCCAGGCCAAACTTGTCACCGGCACTGATGTCATTGCCCCCTCGCTGCCAGCGCACCTTCACTCCTGCCCGCTCTGTCTCGGCCTCAAACACCGCAGGGCTGCCGGCAGCCACCTCTGCTGACCGTGGCTTCTTGCTGAAGGCTGAGACTGAGGGGCCAATGGAGGCTGTAGGGGCCCTTGGCTTGCCCATGCACTCCACGCCTGCAGCCCCTCTTATTAAATATGGTGCCAATCACTTTAATGCATCACCTTATTTAATGTTCCAATAGTTCTATGAGATAGGCGCAATTATCATGCCCATTTCTCAGATAAGGACACCAAAGCTAAGAGAAGTGACTTAATGAAATCACACAGCCAGTTGGTGTGAGAGTCTAACCTCCAAACAAGACTTTTGCTAAGTGCATCCCTGGGTACCATCCCCAGGGAAACCAATGATGAGCCCAGCTTCTCCCCCACACCATCTGGGGCCCTTGGCAAGGGACAGGTACTCTGCCTACTCGGATGTGGCTAAATTTGTCCTCCAAGGACCTCAGGCTGAGAATCAGCAATTGAGATAAAGCTGGCCTGGGAGGGGGCTGGGGGCTGGGGGACTGGATCTGTGCCCTGGACAGCCTTGATAAGGATACAGGTCAGGACCAGGCCCCCGTGGTCCTGTGAAAGGCTGTGACTTTCTCTGCCCTTGGCCACAGCTCAGGGACCTCTTGACTGTCCTCTCCCAGAGCAGAGTGTGCATTACCTCAGTGTGGGGCCACGCCTGGTGTGGGGGCCGCAGGCGGGCAGGCTCATAAAGCAGAGACTCTCAGAGCTAGAAGGAACCAACCCAACTCCTCCTTGTATAGATGGGGAAACTGAGCCCCAGCGCTGGGAGGGACTTGTCCAGGAGCATTCGGTGAGCCTGGCTGGAGTCTAGACTCAACCTGGGTGCCTGCCTGCAGCGGCCTTTTCCCAAAAGGCAAGCCAGGCCTAACCTTGCTGCAGAAGGAGACGGGGGTTGGGGCAGGGAAAGGTCCTTCTGTCTCCTGAGAGTGAGGGGGCGACCCCAGGAGCCTCCTGCCTTGGCTCCCTCCCCTCTGTGCACCAGTCCTTGGTTCACCCTCACTCTCATCAGAAGGATGAGATGGAGAAACTGAGAGCCAGAAAAGGACCCAGGAGGACAATCCCCTCTCAGGAACTTGACCCCAGTCCCGCCCCCCAATTGTAGATGCCCCCAGCCCTCTGTGCCCCACACTCAGCCCAACCCCAGGCCTGGAGCTACCTGGTTTCTTCCCCGGCTCAGGCATCTTGACAGAGGTCACACCAGGAACTGAGCAGACACAGGCCACCCACAGAGGATCTGAGCAGGGACCCGTCCCCACACTATATAAGGGGCCCTCCCCCTCCCCAGGCCCTCCTTATCTGCCTCCTTCCCAGCTACCTGCTAAATATAGACAAATTCCAGAGAGTGAGTTTCTCTCCAGGAGAAGGTGGGGGAAGGTGGGGCCGCGTCGTTCCTGGCTGGCCCCTGTTCCTACCGCCGCCAGCCCGATACGATGGCTTCTGCCTTCCTAACCTTCAGTGAACTTCAAGGGTACCCCAAACCCTGCCTGTGTATGTCCCTCTGACAGGCAAATTATGCAGTGGGAATATGCTGGGTCCACGAGCCTGAAGCATCCTCGCTGGGCAGTGTGGTTATAGCACACAGGCCTTGAGTCCTGGCTCTGCCAGTCTCTTAACTTCCCAGTGCCTTAGTTTCCTCATCTGTAAAGTGGGGTTGATGATAGCAGCACCCACCACGTAGGATTGTTCCGTGAATGAAGCAGGTTTACCGATAAAAATGCTAGAGCAGCATTGGGCATATAGAAAATGCCGAAGGAATGTTTGCTTTTATTAGTTGGCCCCTCGTTTACCAGCTCACAAGAACCTAGGCTGGCTTCCTGCTGTGGGACCCTGGGTGTGCTCAGTCCAGGGCCGGGTGGAAAAGGGGCAACAGTGAGGCTGACATCCCCCAAGGGGAAGGGCTGGGTGATCCAGCAGGTGAGGGCTTGGGGGTAAATCTCTAAAAACACCCCAAAGTGAAAGACACAAGCAGAACTGGCTTTTGGCCAAAGTCACAAGGACTCACACAAAAATTACTGTTAGAATGTTCTGAATCCCCTCATGCCCCACTCCGAACTGTTCCTCTGTGACCTCTGTACCCTGTAACAGACCTCCTCGCTCATCTGCCTCACATCAGGGGCATCAGCTGCTACACAGAAAAAAGCAAATCACAGACGACACACTCCAAGCGAGACCCATTATCAAGAAAGGTCATTTGTCCCCCATGGTCGAGAAGACACAATTCTCACGAGCATTGTCCATGTGGTCAAACCTTACCATCCCTTTAAACACTGAAGTCCATTCTTTTCTGCCATTTTAAGCCGTTTTAAACCAGATTGCATCCTCCTGCACCTTTTTTTTTTTAATCGCCTACAGCACCTGGTCTTCCTAGGTGGTCTCCCATCCAAGTACTAACCAGGCCCGACTCTGCTTGGCTTCCGAGATCAGACAAGATCGGGCACGTCCAGGGCAGCATGGCCGTAGACTTGCACCTTCTTTAAAAGAGGACTATGCACCACTGACCTTCTCTCCGGGGTCTCTCTCCCTAAGGAAGGTCACAATTGGGCTTCCACGAGCCAGAGCCCTTGAAACGAGGAGGTGTGTGGAGCATGGCCCATCGCTAGTGGCCCCGAGTCTGGGTTCTCTGAGGGCTGCAGGGACTTTCTTCACCCCCAGGCTGTCAGCTGCCACTTCCTGCTCCTGGGTAGTCAGGAGCAAGAAGCTTCTAGGCCACCGGGCTCATCTTTTGTTGTTTCTCCCCTGCTGTGGGCTGGAAGCCAGAGGACACAGGACACTGGGCTTCACCCCAGGGGTCCACTCGTGTCCAGAGTCCTGCTCACATGGATTCTGTGAGGACACCTTGTGGCCCACCGGAGTTCTGGGGCCTAATTCCTGTCCTGCCCACCCCTCGCCAGCTGTGTGACCTTGGACAAATTACTTGACTTCTTTGAGGAGCCTCAGTTTATAAAATGGGATGATTTTAGACTTCCCTTCTCATCATACTGGGGTCATAAGCTAAAGATTATGAGTTTAAGCCTCACTGAGGTTTTAAAAGAAAAACTATTTTTCAGATTTGGAGAGTTTTTTAATGATTTATTTCCCTAATAACAACTGAGGATTCATTCTTTCCACCAGGTCTAATTCCTGGTCAGGCACCGTGTGTCATTGGTCCTCATGTTCCCCCCATCCTCAGTAAATGCCTAATGGACCAGTGAGAAAAACAGAGATCACACGGGCCCAGACAAGGTGCACAAACAATTTTAAGAGATTCTCTGTGCTGCAAAAGGACACACAGAATAACTTTAATAATAGGGTTACTTCAGGAAGCTAATGAGGGAGAAGTGTGGGAAGGGAGAAGGGCTTAAATTTACAGATATAGTGACTTCGAACTCCCAAGGAAGCACCCTGGTTGTACTAAGCAAGGCTGATCCTTGCCTGGGGTCAGAGGCCCCAACGGCCTTCCGAGAGTGGGGCTAGAGTCCTGGTGGGAGATGAAGTGGGGACTTGGATAGGGAACTTGGGGGAGGCGGTGAGGCGAGGCCCGGCCGCCACAGTCCTGCCCCGGCCCCGGGGAGCTTTGCTCCCTGTGTCCAGCTGGGCGAGGGATTAATGCTATGGCCAGCGGGGAGGCCCGGCGGGCCCGGCGGGTCTGCGGGCCCGGGCTCAGTGGGCCGGGTGGCGCCGCTCCACCAGGCCCCCGCGGCCCAGCACCTCCCCGCTGAACTGGTAGGTGAGCTTCTTCTTCACCTTCTTGACCTCGCCTGTCTTGCTGTAGTTGCGCAGTGCACGGGCCATCTTCTGGTAGGTCATCTTCTTGCGGTTGCCCTTCTGGATGCCCCAGCGGTGTGCCAGCGCCTCCTTGTGCTTGGACGAGAACTGGAAGGTGCCCTTGTCCTTGTCTACCCACCAGATGCTGTCCTTCATGTCCCCGCTGCGGAGCAGGTCGAGCAGGAACTGGTAGAGGCGGATCTTCTTCTTGCTGCCTGTGGGAGAGGCGGTCAGCGCGCCAGCACGCACACCCACGCCCACCATTCTACGGGGTCCCCTGGGGAGTGGTCTTGGGGAAGGATGGGGTCGGCAGAGGGCCACGGGGAACCGGGTCCCCCACGGCATGCCTGGTACACACACTCACACTCATTCGCACTCACACACAGCACAGAGAGGTACAACACTCACACACACACACGCTCAGCTCTGTGGTGTGACTGCTGCGTCAGCTGGTCTTGGCTGGGGTGGGCCTAAGCACAAATACGGCCAGGGTTGGGGCTGGGGCTGGGCCCCCCTACCTGTTTCCCCGTGCACGAGGCCCGGCCCCGGCTCCAGGCCGTCCGCCTCCCCATCCGACACCTCCAGTGGGGGGCTGTGCCGCTCTCCCTCCTCCTCATCAGAACTGGGCTGGGCCGGGGACAGCGAGGGATATGGGAGGCACATGCGGGGTAGGTAGGGGACCTGGAAAGGTGGGAGAAAGAGAGTTGAGCCACTGAGGGACATTGGAAGCTCAGGGCTGCAGGGCAGGGGTCAGCGGAGGAGAGCGGAGCAGGCCGAGGGTGGGACGGTAAGCAGGGGCCAGGAACACGTGAAAGAGGCGGGGGAATTTGGAGGTCATTCAGGTTACAGAGGTTAGGCGGGGTCACCACGCATAGGGTGCAGGTTGTGGGGACGAGGGGCTGCTGAAATCCCGCCAAGCTGGGCCCCCCAGTTCAGGGCCAAGTGACTCAGGGAAAAGGTCCCTGTTTCTCACATGCACAAGGTACCATATGGACTAGCAGTGGCCCCGGGGTGAGAAGTAGGGGTGTGGAGAGGCCTATGAGTTAGGTACCAGAGTGCATGGGCTTTAATAAGTGAGCCATGAGTGAGGGAAGAAGCAGTCAAGGTCATGAGGGGAGATAGAGGTCAATGGAGGTCACTGTTTGGGATTAAGGTCAGTGGGTCTGAGCAGGGTCAGTAAAGGGGGTCGTTGGGGAGAGACAGGGGCCATCAGATGTCAGTGGAGGTCAGTGCTCAATGACTCGGATGCTAGATCCATGGGGGGCCAGCAAATGGTGGTTGCAGCCAGCGAGGGTCAGGAAGGCCCATTCGTCGGGTTGGGGTCAGGCGGGCTGGTGTGGGGGGTGGGAATTATCTGGGCTCTGTCCATCATGGGGAGAGAGGAGATAAGGGGTGGGGGGTCACAAGGTCAGTCAGAGGGTCAGGAGGAGCCGTTGGGTCTTCAGCCACCGTTGGCGCCGTAGGGCAGGAAGCGAGTTGAGTAAGAGCCTGTATCAGCTTCCTGTGAAGCCTGGGCCCCACCACGGGCCGCGGGCTCCTTCGGGCCAGGCCGGACCACACGCACCTGGTGGCCGAGGCTGGCATGGGTGGGCGCCATGGGGGTGTCGAGCACGTGCATCTGCTCCAGCTCCATGTGGCGGTAGAGCTGCTGCAGCTGTGGGGGCTGCACGCTCTGCAGCTCCGTGAAGTGGTTCTCTGCGAAGCTCTCAAACTCACTGTGCACATGGTGCGGGTGGAAGTCCCAGTAATGGTCTGTGGGGAACAGCCAGGCAGTAAGGGGTGAGCCCGGGGATGGGCAGGGCAGGAAAAGGTTAGAATAATGTAAAAATAAGAATGCCAGGTTGAATGGGGCTATTACCACAGGCCAGCCTGGACTACAAGGTGACATTAATCACCTTGCCATTCTGCTCATTATCTGATGACCTTATTTTATCGATGAGGACCCTGAGGCTCTGAGGGGCTATATATATAACATGCTCATGGTCTAAGGCCTCGTCAGTGGCAGAGCTGGGACCCAGGCCTAAAGCAAAGCCTGCATTATCAATGACATTTCTACTTTGCCTCCCACATGGCCACCAGGGCACAGGCTTTTGAGCTAGAGGCTGAATCCTGGCTCTGCCATTTACTTCCTGTGTGACCTCAGTCACACGCATGGACTTCTCTGGCCTCGGTGGACTCACCTGTGAAATGGGGATAATAGTTACCAGGAGAATAACAGCGAGTTCACATTTGTAAAACTCTTCGCTTTCGAGTAGGCCCTGGGGGAAAGTTGACTCCCCTCCCCTCCCCTTAAGATCTCCCAGTGGTTCCTGAGCTGACTGGTTGCCCACAGTCACATGCATACGGCCTTGTCACATGGCCAAGGTGTGTGACTGCAAAGTCACAGGGCTGACATTCCTCACACACCAGAACTAGTCCAGGCTCATGTTCAAAGCCATGCCCTTGGGCAGCTGCATCTGTGTTCCAGTGAGGTTACTAGGACCCGAGGCTTTCCTGGAAACTCCCTCATGGGTGCTTTCAGAGTCTGCGGTGGCGTGGATTCAAGTTTGGGGAACAGCCACATGCCACTGGGAGCCCTGTCTGGGACTCGGGCAGGTCTTCAACAAGGTTCCTCTGGGCACCCTTTCCAGGAACAAAAACTGCTACATGTCTAAGGACGTCTTGGGTACAGTTTGGGATCCAAAAGAAGATACGGTGAGAAAGTGACAAGAGGGCTTTTCTCATGTGACCCAAAGAAGGAGCGTACAGGATGCTAGCCCAGCGTCTCTGGGACGAGCACAAGGCCCTGCAGGGGGACCGTCCACTGGCCCCGCGTGTGCATCTGTGTGTGACATATGCGTGTTTGTCTGTCTGTCTCTCTCTTTTTTTTCTCTCTCACACAAGTATATACCCATTCACACATTCCTAAGAAATGACATGGGGTTTTTTTTGGCTCTGGACTTTTTATCAGAAGACTTGCTTTCTAATCCTACTCTGTGGTGGCTTTGCTGTGTGACCCTGGACAAGACAGTTTATCTCCCTGAGCCTCTGATTCTCCATTCTACCGTTACTGATGTCCTGTCCACGTGTGAAATCATTTGAACCCTCAGTCTAGACTTCGCCGCCTCTATGAGGCAGCATGGCATAGAGGAGAGCAAGTCCATAATTTGGGAGTCAGGTGGAGCTGTGTTCAATCCTGGCTCTGCCATTTACCGTTGTGTGACATTGGGCAGGTCATTCCACTTCTCTAAGCCTCAATTTCTTCATCCGTAAGATAGGGCTAATAATTACACCTATGTCATAGGCTTGTTGAAAGATTAAATGAGCCTGCAAAATGCTTAAAAGAGAGCCTAGCACAAAGTGAGTTTCAAAGAACATTAACTATTATTATTATTAATATTATTATGAGCCTGGATTAGCATCCGAGCAAACAGCAAGATGCTTTAATATATGTTTATTTCCTCTTCTTACCCCTGCTCCTGCCTCCTTGGTCAGTGGCTCAGAGAAATAGTTTCAGGGGCCCTGGCTGTCACTTTCTCTCAGAGGCTGGAGTTGGGGCCCCAGCATTGTACCACAACGGCAGTGACCGCTTTTACTCAGCTCTGTATTCTCAGTGCCTAGACCTAGTGGGCACTCCACAAACATTTCCTGAACAAATGAATGAATGAATGAGTCCTATTCTCTTAAGAACTCTCCCTGACTCTCCTCCACAAAATCATATAAACCTGAGGGAAGACAAAACACTTCATTTGTACTTGTATCTTGCACTGAGTTAACGAAATCCAGAAACTCTCCACTTGCTGTGGGAAAGTTGGGTCTGTCTTTTAGAGACAGGCCCTTTGGGGGCTCTGGGATGTGGTGAGCAGATCTAGGATGCTCTTTAGCTATATAGACGGGCTCTTCGGCCCCGCTCCTGGCCCTTCCCGTTTTTGCCTTCTCCTGCCCAGGCTGAAGTTCCCAGATCTTTGTAGAATGCCCCATCAATCCTGCTCACCAACCTCCCATCCTCACACCCACTCCAGTTCGGGGTCGAGGGTCCCTTGAGTGCCTGCAGCTCTCCAGGTGTAGGATGAGGGC